ATATATCAGAAAGTCAGTTTTTACTCTTCTACTTAAAACAAAACAATTTTATTATTAAATATTTAAGATGTACAAAAAGTACAAATATGATACATCTGTGTCCCCAGTACCAATTAAGTTGAAATCCTCTACATCCCTTTTGTACCTCCCTTTCCAGACATAATCCTTAGCCTGAATTTGGTGTTTATTACTCTAATGTTTTTTTCTTTATGCTCTGATGATGTATGTATGTATCCTTTATCAATATGTAATACTGTTTTGTCTTTTTAAAATTCATATCAATGGCATCATGTAGTATCTATTCTGCAACTTGCTCGTTCTTGATTCAATGTTGAGATTTAGCAATGTTGATATAATTGCTAAGTGTATAAATATAGTTTTAGTTCATTAAAGCCACTATACAGTGGCTTAACATTGTATAAATGCATTACGTATCTATCCTCTTGATGGAGCCATACTAAAATAGACAAAACCTAGAAAAAATGACATTAAACATTTTGAGCATATAAACTAGTTTCTTCCAAACTATGGCTTTTCATATCTTTTATACCACAACCCACAGTAAAAAATACATTTAACATCTTGACTCTAAACACATATATAAGAGATCTTCAATTATTTTTTTAAAGAATTATTTAACTTTATTTATTCATTTTATTTTGACCAGAGAGGGGGAGAGAGAGAGAGAAAGAGAAAAAGATAGTAAGCCACCAGATCCAGGACTGGAACCGCAGTCAGCCATGTGGGAGTCCAACACCCTTAACCACCATGCCACCTGCCAGCCCCAGGATCTTTAATAAGTTCAAGGAAAACGTGTATTATGAAAAATGCTGAATTTCAAAATTTTTTTCCATCAAAATAAACTTCCATTTTCCCACAACCTTCTTGATGTCCTGTCATACATATATTTGTGTATAGATGTATACCAGTATATAACAAAGGTTTCACTTAATAATACAGTCTCTGGTTATTTTCTATTGTCCTATTCCCTTAAGAAAATATAAGCTGATTTTTAAGTAATTGATCGATTCCGTGATTTCCCTATACAGGTTGCAACCAGAATTTAAACACTGCTCAAGGAGTGAAATTGGTGAATCACAGGATTTATATATACTCAGTTTTACTAGACAATTTCACTATTTTCTAAAACAGGTGTAGCAAATTATGCCATTAGCAGATAAGCAAGTTGCCACTGTTCAGTCTCCTTGTTGCATCTGAATGTATTTCTACCTGATTCTGTCTATTTGAAATGTCATCCTGTAATATAAGTTTGCATTTCAAAAATTAGTAGTGAGCCTAAGCATCTTTTCCTATGTTTAGAAGCCATCTCTATTTTCCTATTCCATGAACTATGAGACAGGGAAACTAGGAGAAATTTTTCCATTCCAGAACTTGAGCTGGGATGCATACTTTATTTAGAGTGTGGCTCTGATCTATGATATTTTTAATATGTGACCATGTGTCCAAGAGAAAAGGGAACCAATCAAACATTACTTTCTCAGAAAGACTTTCCATTCTCAGGCCAGAACAAAGTAGAATCAACAGCAAAAAGAATGAAGAAAAAAACAGACTGAGAAATGAACTTTATTTTTCTTAAAGTTAAAAAGTTTGTGGGCCGGCTCTGTGGCCTGGTAGTTAAGGCAGCCAGATCCCATATGGTTGCCCACATGGTTCAAGTTCTGCAATTGGAAGGCTTGAGAAACATTGGTTGCATGTGCATATGTGCCAAAAACCCTGAAAGGAGGGAGGGATGGTAGTGAAGGAGCCACATTGTGACAATCCCCCATTGGGGGTGTTTCTCTACTCTTGCATTCTGTCTATCTGGCAAGTGCATGCATCCTCTAACAACAATTTTTAAAAAGTCCTAATTTGAGTGGGGAGGGGAAGCAAAAAAATAAAATAAAATAAAACCTAATCTTTCAAAATCTATGTAAATTTGGATATGTTGTTATTCTTCTGTTCTCAGTTTTCCAATCTGTAAAATTAGGATAACAATCTGTACCACTTCTTATCCCATGTGGAAATTTTGAAATCAACATTTTTTGAAACTTTGAAAACAAAGAGCTTGTAGAAATTAAGGGTTCTGTGAGTATTAAGTCAGTAAATACCTTCCATAAACTTAAGAGAGATGATAGAACTGCTGTACTTTGAACAGTCTTTTGGAGTGAGCAGTCATCCTGATTTCCTGCCTGAACACCCAATAGCTCTGCAATCAATTATCCCCTACTATAACACAGAAATCTAAAGATATTCTTCATTTTATAGGTATAAAAACCAAATCCATGGCCTTTTTGGAGTTTCCTGTTCCCTGGGTCACTCATCCACCTTCTGGTCTGACCCTCTCATGCTGCCAAATACAAGATTTGTCACAAAGTCAGATGTACTTGTTTTTCAAAGATTAAGGGCTCAAAAGCAATCTACATTTCACCTTCTGGTTCTCAGGATGGAACAACTGTGGAAAGAGAATAGATCTGACTTCTCTGAGAAGTCGATTCTCAAAGCACAAAGGAAAAAGATGGCACACCATATAGCATCCATCGCCAAAGACTAAGAAGGTAGACAGGGACCAGTAGATGGCATAATGGTTACATCACTGGACACCCACATAGTCAACTACAGTTCGAGTTCAGGACCGGGCAGTTTAAAACACATCAGGCACGTGTGCATGATGTGTGACTGTGTGAGTGCCCAAAATCCCAAGAGGGATTGCCTCTCGGGGGGCAGTGGGGGGTGATTTCTCACTTTCTGTCTCTCTGGTGAGCACACAACGCCCTGTAGCAAAAAGTCTCTCTGGGAAAGAAATAAATAAGGTAGACAGATATAATTGAAGGTAAAAGGGTATTCTCAAGGAATAGGCAATATCTATGAGCAGGTTGCACCAGATGCTGCTGCCACATCCCCTTTTCTGAAATTTGACTCCACCACCTGCACTCACTGCCATCCTTTACATATCCATGTTACCAAATGGAATGTTACAGTTTGGCTGAGAGAATCCTCATCACACAAAGGGATCCCTGCCTAAAGCCATCTCTACCTATATAGCATGCTATCTGCACAGCAGTACAGTGGCAGCGCTAAACTGAAGAAACAGACAGACTCACAACCTCCTGGGCAGATGGGTGCTTCTTCTGTATCTGACACTCATGATCACTACTTGCATCTTTTCCTGAGCTCACTGCTCCTTCTGTTACTTACTGTTGTCTTCTGCTCTAGGTAGATTCTCCCAGTCAGTTTCACAGTAGCATAAGAAATGTCGTTAATTCTGTGCATCATTGTTCTCAAACGTGGAGTCAAGGGGGTAAACAAAATCCTACCTGCCAGTGACCTAGGAGGATCACTCCTCCACAGAGCAGTAATGTGGTTAAAACAAAACCTAGAAGAAATTTACTCTACTTTAGCTGCAAGAATGGAGCTGAAGGAATATTTATATATCTGCTAAAGATTCATCTATAACTTTTTTTGTTTGGACTAAAGTTATAAAGAGCTGGGACCAGCAGATGGCGTAATGGCTATGTCACTGGACTCCCATGTAGTCAACTGCGATTCAAGTCCTGGACCCAGTGGCTTGAACTCATGCCGGGTGTGTGTGAGTGCATGCTCAAGATCCTGAGAGGAGAATGGAGGAGAAGGGATTGAGGGGTGCTGGGGGGCTGATTTCTCGCTTTCTGTCTGTCTGTCTCTTGTCTTTCTGGCACACGTACACATATAGCAAAAACCTCTCCAAAAAAAAAAAAGTTATAAAGAGCTGGCAGCTACTGTGAAAAACAAACCCAGTATGGGAAGTAAGCCTGAAAGTTAGCAAGGAATAGAAGCAGCCCCAATGAGATAAAACCCTAGCCACAGCTTATTTTACTTACTTGTACCTACTCTATTGTTCAAAAGCAACATCCAAGGACAAAAGGATTCAAGGGTTCATAAACAGTGTACCAGGTAAATAATTTTCTTCTGGAGTCAAAGACAAAAAGAGTTTCTCATAGGTATTAAGATGAAGAAACTTCAAAAGTTTGTGATAAAGCAGAAATAAATTATGAGTTTATTTTAGTGCAAAAAAGTTTAAAATCCATGCATAGTTTAGTCATAGTACACATTTTTCCATTAGCTTCCTAAAGACTCTGAAAATGTCTAGGACTCAGATACAAGCTAGTATAAAAGAACCATTTCAAAAAGCTGAAAACATTTCCTACTTGCAACAATATATTTCCTAATTGTTAATAGATCTTTTCCAGTTCAAGCAGAGCTAAAAATTTGAGGAAAATTAATTAAGAAATGTAAGAACTGGGTGTTTTAATAAAGATGGATCTCTCTCTTTCTGGTTCCTCATTCTTCTTTATGTGATGATAAGTTGCAAAAGTCATGATTAAAGTATTTGTTCATATCATTCTAATAACCAAAACAAAACAAAAAAACAAAACACTGAAAATTTTTAATAGAACCAAGTTAGAGAAAAAGCCCCTTAGGCTATTTTTAAAATACTCTTTACTTGTTCAACTACCCTACTCAATGTCTGGCCACGTGCAAAGTGCATTTGGTCACAGCATCTTACACAGCACATTGGTCTGGGAGGCAAATGGCAGCTGAGTTTTGTTCCCAGGAGCAAGGGTGCCCAACATTATGAGGTCTACAGTCCTCTGCCCTCTTTCACCTCTCAGTGATCCTAGCTGGGACCAAGTGAAAGAAAGCTAATAAAAAGTAATTTTTATTAGATCCTATGGACCACAGACTACTTGCAAACCATCTTGGGTGAAGGACACCAACTACTTCTTGGAAAAATCAGATATCGATAAAGAATATCTGATAACAAAATAAAATTCACTTTCACATCTAAAAGTTGCAAACCATCTTGGGTGAAGGACACCAACTACTTCTTGGAAAAATCAGATATCGATAAAGAATATCTGATAACAAAATTCACTTTCATATCTAAAAGGTTACTTGGGTAATTCTACAGGTACCACCTTATTAACTGAAGCAGATAAGAAAAAAACAATCTTCAGAAAATATCATTGTTTAAATACACTCTATTTTATTTTGTCTTAAAATAGTTTAACCTTTATGCTACAGACTTATTTCAAAAAACAGAAAATCTTATCTTGCACCAAAAAATATATATATAACACTCTGTTTTATTATTTTTTTCTCCAAAGACCATTAAATACTAAATGGAAACAAAAACTAAATAATGAATGTAAAGAACCAAATTTCATTTTAAAAACTAGAGTTGCACATTTCAAAACATTAATTCTAAGCAATGATTTGTCGTCACTGCATCAAGTTCACACTCACACTCCAGTAACAGCAGATCTGTTAACCGCCAAGTGCATTGGTTCCTAGCCATACAATGGCTAACATTTCATTTTCACGGTAATAGGAGCAAAAGGTTTCAATGACCTTTGAGCTCTTTAAAAAACAAAACAACAACAAAAATATTTCCTAGTTATCCAGTGATTTTTCTTTAAGATCACTACCCTTTAAATTTTGTTAAAGAATAAGTAGTGTTTTAAATAAAATGAAAAAATACAACAGCATTGGACTAAAATACGTGATTATTTTAAACAAACAGTGCACAATCTGAGGAAGTTTGGTTAGGGCGCAATCATTTTTATATATACATGGAAGTCACATCATACACATATTGGAGAACAGGAATTAGGGGCTTTTTGCCTCAAAAAAAGTTTAAAACTAAAAGACAAAATTGTGTCTCCAGCTTTTTCAAACATTGTGACACAGTATAAAAAGCAGGCAACAATTCATTTTAAAGTTACCTATGGTGCTGATCATTAAAAGTAATGATGAACAAATAATTAAATTAGCAATTATAGATGGTTTGTATTCACAATTGATAACAATAAAAGCAGAGTTTATGGGATGCCTGATTGTAAAGAGCAATGGATTCCCTTCCATATGGCCCCTACCATCAACATGAAGGTTATGGAGAGCAGTAATGAACCACTAGTTACAGGGCAGTTCTGATAATGCAACAGCTAAATTACTGCTCTGTTTTTTTCAAATTGTAGGAGAGAGAAACTTAAGCAGCCCAGTGGCATAAACCAGTCTATGACCCACATGTACCATTTTTAGCAGAGATATTACTTTGAACAATGTCCTGTGTAGCATAAAGAACAACTTATTCTACCAAATATGAAACTTTGGTTTAAAAACATCCCTTTAAACAAAATTCCAAATGTCACAGGAGCTGTAGATCACAGAATTTATGATTAATACCTTGCCTGAAACCACATCCCCACTCTTCTGGATGTAGCAGTGACAGAAGAGTTGAAACATAGTCTCTCTATAGTTGTTTATTATGTGGAAAGTCTCAAGCTAGTAGGAGAGAGCTGACACCCACTTGTCATCCCTACCAATCCTTCCCCACTTTCCATCTTGATTATCTAAATCTCTGTTCTAGTACATTAGGTCAGGTAGTACGAGAGCTAAACAGGAACAAGTGAGGGAAAACTGCAGCAAATGGACACAGAAGAACTTGGTTACAACTCTACTCTCTTCCGAATCCGTAGTGCACAAAGCACACCAAAAAAGTTCTCTCTTTAAAGGATGACTATTAGGGACTAAAGAAAATATGTCATGGGAAATCACCTGCTGTAGAAAACTGGACACAATATACTGTTAACATATGAATGGGTAATGTGAAAACATTCTTTAAAATGGGGCTCTGCCCTGATGCTGGGGAAAAAAATTAGCTGCAAGAACTTCAAGTCATACAATTCATTCTGTTCTTTTCCCAATGATCTTCGTGGAAAATATAGACCAGAAATTGTACATTTCTGCTTTGTCTAGTATTCTAATTCAAGTCAAAATATGAGTGTAACAGTAAAACTCAATAAATTAATCCTGAAGTAAAATGTGAAGGTCCAAAAATACACCAGTAGTGAATCTGCAAAAGGTCCTATTTTGCTCTGGCCTCTGGGTCTTTGGTTTTTGTCTAGAACTGTGCCCATATGAAACTGATAAATGAGGTGCCTAAACTGAAGATTCATGAGCTTTAACAGCCTGAACTATTATTACAAGTAGATTGGAGAAAAAAATAAAAAGTTGATGAAGAACAGAGGCCAGATCTAATGCAATGGCTATCAGAGATCAGAAAAGACATGCTCAAATACATTCCCACGGAAGAAGGGGTACACAGAACAGAAGCAATAGGAAGAAGGGTAAAGAAACTTGTCTTTACAAAACAAGAAAAGGCCAGGCAGGTGGAGCCAGACAGACTCTGATGCATGCGCATGCAGGGTATGTCGCATTAATTTCTGCAGCCCACACAGCACCCACCCCTACACAGTGCCTTATGCAGAACAGGCACTTGGTAAATGTGTGTTCACTGAATGGAAACTGAAAATAGTTTTCATACTTTTATAAGGAAAAGCCATCAAGGCATTTGAGGAGAGAGGAAAGGGCCATAGCAACGTTATACGGTAACAACAGAAACAAAAATGCAAACAAAAACCATGAAAAACAAAAGGTGAGGTCTTCTAAGCCAGTAATACTTCACTCCTCACTGTGTACAACACATAGTGTTCTAATTCTAGATATTGCTTTTAAAATAATTCACTAGTAACCATAACATGTTACTAAAGTACGTAGTAACTAATGCCACAAAACTCCAATGCTGGCATTTCCTGAATTCCCTGAAGCTCCTACTACTCTCTGTTATTCCTTTTAGACGTTGTAAAACTTATAGTGCCAGGAATGTGCTTTACATTTGACTTCTTATGGTATATTTTAATTTTTCCTAAAGCATATATATTTTTAGAAGGTAGAGGACAGAAATACCCAAATACAGCATCAGGAACACTTCAGCTCAGGTGTGGAACAGTTGTTATACACTTTTTATGGAGACAAGCTATGAAAGAAGGCACTTTCCTCTCAGTTTTATAAGTGCCTGTAGCCTTAGAAGCCACACAACCTTTTGTATTCTTCCTAAGTAACAGGTTTCTACATTCTCCCATTATCTGAATAGAAAAGCTGAGGAAGTGAGTTTTTCTCACTGATCTCTCAATAGTCTCTTCAGACTCCTAGAAAACTTCAATGTGGGTATCTATTTGAAATGTCTCTACCCCAAAGGAGAAATTTTCCAAAGGGGTATGAATTATTGCAACAAGGAGGCTAGGTCACCTTAGTATTTATAAACACAAAGGGGCATGTCAACTATTTGAGTAGCAGGAAATCAACCAGGTGTAAAGTCAAAAAAAGAGGGCAGAAGACTTAAGGTTAAAGAAAAAAAAAACTTTTAATACTCTGTCTTCTATTTTTTAAGGACAGGTTTTTAAATGCACATGGCCTACTAGGTGCCAATAAGGACCTGACTGATTGATATGTGTGTGAATGCCCTAAGGTGGGAGTGCTATGGGGTGTGCAGATAGTGGTCAAATGTAGAAATTAATTTCATAATACAGAAAAATAAATAAAGACCTGAAAACTTAAATCCATTTTACCTGGTAATTAAAATATTCTAAAAAGAAGATGGAGTTTCCTACGATTAAAAGTCACCAAGTAAAATGAAGCTGACTAATAAAATTCATCATTCTCATATTCCTATGAATGAAAGAAGAAAAATTCTTTTGTTGCGATAAGTTATTTTCCTAAGTGACTTCTTTTAATTAAGGGAGGGGAGAAAAAAAAAAGGAGGGAGTAATTTCCATGAGTTTCAATTCTACAAATGCCACAAACAGCTTCTGAAGCTGAAGCTATGACAATGAACTTCCGTGTCACAAAGAGAGGAAGAATGGAAGGGAACAGTGCAGCGGAAACACAGTGACATTGTATTACAGTAGGTATTTACGTCTGCTATCCTCATCCAAGGTAAGGTCAACGACTTCTGCTGGAGAAGCCCAAGTCTGCTGGGGAGTCACAGCAGTCCATGACTGTGTTGGCCGGGTGCTAACATACTGCGTGCCTGAACCATGCTTCCATGAAGAAACACTCTGAATCACACCTCCTCGAGGATGAACACATCTGCAATTGAGATAATGCACAAAAGCATAGTTAATATCACTAGAGAAAAAAAGGTATATGACTTCAGTTATACTGACCAATTTTTTTTTTTTTTTGGAGAGATTTTCACTATAGGGCGCGTGCGCTAGCCAGACAGACAGAGAGAGACAGAGAGACAGAAAGCGAGAAATCACCCCCCCAGGGGGGATGGTCACGCCGCAATCCCTTCTCCTCTCGGGATCTTGGGCACGCACGCACACACGCCCGGTGTGAGTTTTAAGCCACCGGGTCCGGGACGCGAACCGCGGTCGACTATGTGGGAGTCCAGTGACATAGCCATTACGCTAACTGCTGGTTCCCTACTGATCAATATTTTTATGAAGATAAACCTGCTGGGGGCTGGCAGGTGGTGTGGTGGTTAAAGGCACTGGATTCCCACGTGGCCAACTGCAGTTCGAGTCATGGACCTAGGAGCTTGCTTGCTGGCTTTCTCGTTTTTCCTCTCTCTCTCTGGTCAAATTTAAAAAATAACAACAAATGAAATTAAATAAATAAATATTTTTTAAAAAGATAAGGCTGGTGTGAAAATTCATGAAACTGACAATCAATATCCTCCTCTTTCCTCTGTCTCCCTCCCTCCCTCAGTTTAGCCTTAAAAAGGCCAAGAGTCTTGTCTCAGTCAGAACACCTAAGTTGTGTCCAGATCAATCACCTTCCTTGGGTAAGGCTCATTTAAACTTCTGGGATCTTCATGACAGGGCAACATATAAATTCAGAATAAAATCAAGATGCCCAAACTATCTCATTCTGAAGAAATGAAACAGTAATAATAATAATAGGTGACACTTGTTCTTGAAATAAGTTTTATAATTTATTTAGTAACAGTACTTTCAAAGACAGTGACAGGAATATCCTTTCACAGATTAGATTTCTAAAAGTTTGTAAGTACCAGGTCATGCATAAAGGATCAATTTTCTTCATCCTGAAGGGCATAACAGATACTTGGCTCCTTCATCAAAATGGCTTATGCTTTGGTTCAGTGACAGTAACAAGATAGAGGGACCAGCAGATGGCGTAATGGTTACATCACTGGACTCCCACATAGTCAATGCAGTTCAAGTCCCGGATCGGGCAGCTTAAAACTCACTGAGTGTGAGTGCATGTGTGCCCAAAATTCCAAGAGGAGAATAAAGAAGGGATTATGGTGTGACCATCCACCAAGGGGGTGATTTTTTGCTTTCTGTCTCTTTCTCAGTGAGCACATGTGTCCTATAGCAAAAATCTTTCTTAAAAGAAAAAGGGGGGGGACCAGCAGTTGGCATAATGGCTAGGTCGCTGGACTCCCATGTAGTCGACCGCTGTTCAAGTCCTGGGCCCAGTGGCTTAAACTCATGCCAGGCGCATGTGCGTGCATGCCCAAGATCCCAAGAGGAGAATGGAAGAGAAGGGATTGTGGCGTGGCCATCTCCCCTAGGGGGTGATTTCTCGCTTTCTGTCTCTCTGTCTCTGTCTTTCTGGTGAGCACACACGCCCTATAGCAAAAACCTCTCCAAACAAAAAAAGAAGAAAGTAACAGGGCAGAAGTACTCAGTCTAAATTCCCTAAGAGGGTCCTGCTAGAGATACATTAGTGTTATGATGACAAATCACTAGAACTGTTTCAGAAAAACTGAATGTCCTAGTCCAGGCACATGACAGAACTGGAAGCCTCACTGACCCTAAGGAAGTTTAAACCAAATGAGAGGAAGGCATGCAGCTCAAGCTACCATTGCTACTTTTGTCCTCACATCTAAGTTACTGACCAGTCCAGGTGGCTTAGTGAAGCAACAAGTAACATGAACTACTACAGTGACTCCTGAATAGTTCTTCTGACAATACACAAAGAGTGATGCTGGGCTGCTTGAGAATTTCCACTTTGATTTAATGCTACCTGTACTACCAGATTCAAAAGAACATTAGGATGGCAGTGGACAAGATTAGATTGCAAAACTGCCCCAAGTCCCTTTAAGCTCCTGGAAAGATGCCCTGCACCTATAAGACTAGCCTGGCTGCTCCCTTACTAACAAAGGTGACAAAGAACAGTCTCTCCAGGCCAGAGGGAGGCAGCACAAAGATTTGTTAAAAGTACCTCAAGCTCCTACATTTTCAGTTAGCTAGTGAAAAGCATTAAAATAAGAGACATAATGCCCAATGTCTAATCTAAATCTGCCCAAGCCATTAAGCAGACTTATAGTCACAGAAGAATGCCAGCCAAAGGAGTCCAACATTTTTAGAAATGGCTTTGGTGACTGAAATCCAATAGAATACTAAATTTATTAGTCAGTTTCACATACATTACCTCATTTGACAGTTCCAACAGACCCCTAAGGTAGACATTAAAGTTATCATCTATACACTACACAGTGGCAAACTAAGGAACTTCATGACAGGTCTTATGTCAGGTCCAATGCTTTCCAAACCATGTTGTTGCTTTATAGATTTTTACAATAAGTGAAACAACACAGCAAGAGTCAGCATAGTACAAAGAAAGATCAAGACTAACAATTTAAAAGTATAAAGTCTGGGCTGGCTTTGTGGCCTGGTGGTTAAGGGAGCTAGATCCCACAAGGTGACCATGGTTCATCCTTGGACCTCGAAAATCAGGTGAGGCATGTGTGAGTGCACGCCCAAATCCTGGCAGGATGGAGAAATGAAGAAAGAGTTGCACATGGCCATATCCCATTGAGGGAGTGCTTTCTCTCTCACCCTGGTGAGTGCACACAACCTCTAGCAACTATTCAATCAATAAAATATGAAATTCTTCAGTAGTTTAAATGCTCACCTATACAAGGACTAATTTAAGCAAAGCTGGCTAGGAACTTAGGACAAATTCATAAATGAATTCTACTGACTGGCAGAATTCTCAGAAATCTCTCTGAAATCAAAGAGATATATAGTCCCAACTTCTGCACTGCTTCCTAAGTAATCATAAAATGTAACATCAGGCAACAGATTTAAAATGGATCTGATCTAATCTGTTTTTAAAAGGGATCTGGTCTAATCTGTTCATTTCACAGAGAAGAAAAGCAAGGCTGGGACCAGCAGGAGGCATGGTGGTTTAGGTGATGGACTTCCACATGGCAGCCCACAGTTCAAGTCCCAGACCTGGCAGCTTGCTCTCTCTCTCCCTTTCTCTCTATCTTTCTGGTGAGTGTATGTGCCCTATAGCAAAATTTTAAAAGTAGTAATAATAAATAAAATTAAAATGAGTAACTTTTTTTTTGAGAGATTTTTGCTATAGTGTGTGCACTCGCCAGAAAGATGGAGAGGGACAGAAAGACAGAAAGTGAGAATTAACCCCCAGGGGGATGGCCACACCACAGTCTCTTCTCCTCATTTTCCTCTCGGGATTTTGAGCACGCACGCACACACACCCTGGTTGAGTTTAAGCCACCAGGTCTGGGAACTTGAACCGCAGCAGGCTACATGGGAGTCCAGCAACATAGCCATTATGCCAGCTGCTGGTCCCTAAAATAAGTAATTCTTTAAAAAGTAAAATAAAATAAAAAGGAAAGAAAACCAAGGCCAATAGACAACTGCCCAGGATCTTAAGCTAGTTAAGCATATAAGCCAAGTCTCCATTTAGGTGTTACTTTTTACTAAATAACTATGCTTTTCTCAGACCATACTTGAAGTGTTATCCTATTTGGCCAGAATGAACACTGCCTGATCCCTAGGGGCATACAATAAATAGCAAAGCAGATTCTAAAGGGTATGCCACTGGAAGAGGATTGGGCTAGAAAGAGGTTAAAAGACTGTATTTACTACTGAGGAGTGACTGAAAAAGGAAGAATAAGGAGATGAGGCCCTTCTTCAGTAATCTAAAAATATTAGGTTGTCCAGAAAGTCATGATGTATTTTTCTATGCAAAAATGTGTCATGACATTCCTGACAAAGTCAATAGATAAATTATGTAGGTACATAAGTTCCAGTTACCAGAAGCCAACTTAGGCTACTTTAAGCAAAAACAAGAACATATTAGAAGAAACACGACAGCACATCAAAAAACCTACAAATGACCAAACAAGCCCCAACTCCCTTGGTCTGTTTCTCTTACATCAAAATCTTAGATTCTCGGGGCTAGTGGATGGCATGGTGGTTGAGACGCTGGACTCCCAAATGACTGATTGCGGTTCAAGTCCCGGATCTGACAGCTTGCTTTCTCACTCTCCCCCTCTCTCTCTTTGGTCAAATTGAAGAAGAAGAATAAATTAATTAAATTAAATAATTCAAAAATTTTTCTTAAATTTAGGTTCTCTCAAGAATGTGATAATTCAAACTTTGGTCAAAAGAGTTCCTGGTTCTAATTAGCTGTAGCTAGAAGCACAGTCCCCCAAAGAAAAGAGTAATAACCGTAGGCTGGGGAGTCGCTGGGGAAGGTGCTACTCCACCTTGCACAGAGATCTCAAGGGCATGAATCAGTTTCTGGGAGGCAAATTTTAGGTGACCATTACTATGCAACAATTACAGCCACCACAAAATGGAGTAAACTGCCTGGTAAACATTTAGGCAACTGCTGGGACATCTGTCAGGAATATTAAAGACAATTCTAAGATAACCACTACGATCAACAACAATTAAGATTTATTCAAAATCAGGCAACACTAGACTGTTAGGAGTCAGGATAATAGTCACAGAGGAAGTGAAAGGGGGAGACTGTTATCGGAAGGTGTCACAGGTGGACTTCTATTCTATCTATGTCTTGATCTGAGTGCTGGTTACTTGGGTAGGAGCAGTTTGCAGAAGTGTACACTATGACTTTTCTCTGTATATTATAAGCCAATAAATACTCAATAAAATGTTTTGTTTTACTGACCCTGACTACTTTAAATGAAACAGTAGTAAAAGATGGATTAGGACTGAACAAGACTTCTAACACATTTTCTTTTAAGCATAGACAAAAAAGGTCAAACAGCAAAGTGCAAGAGAAATATTTCAACTATTTAATAAGACAGTATACATTATAAGATAACTTATACCAGA